AATGTGAAGGAACGTGTTAATAATGGAAAAGTAGTGCTCGAGCTTCAAAATCAAAAGAGAAGTAAGAATTTCAGCCCAGATTACCTTTGAGTCACCCTTTACCCCAAGTTGACCTAGTTATGGTCTTTCGAATTTGGTTGCCTTTCGAAGTGAGGAAATTGCAAGGTTCGCGTTGTAGTGTGTTATCATGCAGTAAGTGCAAGCGCCCACTTTAACTTTTCGAAGTTGGGGTGTGGGATAGACTTATTTCCACTTGGTACATCCTGGGCAATGTATACTCTTATGACAAAAAAGTCAATTAACCGGCAATTGACTTCTCACTTCAAACTACCATCACCACACTGTATGTCATATTCTACCACTTCCACAGTACTCAATTCACTTTACCTTTTCTCTGCCTTTGCCTTTGTGTATGTCTATCTCTTTTGCATCCTTGAATCACTTTTCTGTTCCCCCCTCTCAAATTTGTCTCAATTTGATATTCCTCCTACCCTCTGTGAAGCCCGAAGTCAACTAAAGGTCTTATGATAACTATCAAAACACCTGTCATTTGAAATAAATAAATATAATAACTTATCTAAATTTTTACTATTCAAACTTTTTCGTTCCTGCAATTTTAAATTTAAGTGCAATGCATGAAAAACGTAAAAGTATTTTCTATACACAAATCCTCAAGAATAAATCGTTCCTGAGCACTGTAAACCCCAAAATTTTAGAATTTTGAAAATATTTATTTATTAATATCAAATGGCAGGCTGTTCCCAATTATTTATTTATTTATATCAAATGGCAGGAGTTTTGAAGATAGTTATCATTAGCCCTGTATCAAATGGCAGGCGTCTTGATGGTTATCATTAGCCCTTAACAAATGGCAGGCGTTTTGATAGCTATCATTAGCCCTTTAACTGACTTCGGTATGGCAGGCGTCTTGATGGTTATCATTAGCCCTTTAGTTGGCTTCAGGGTTCGCAGAGGGGAAGAAAGAAGAGTGTTTCAAAGATGTAAGAGACAAACACAAAGGTAGAAAAAAGGTGAGGTGAGTACTGTGAAAATAGTCGAATATGGCATAGAGTGAGGTGAGGGTAGTTTGAAGTGAGAAGTCAATTGCCTTTTAATAGACATTGTTGCCGTAAGAACCAGAGTGCACCATGTGGAGGTAAGTCTATCGCACACCCCACATAGAGAAATATAAATTATGAAAATTAGTTTTCGCACTCCGGGTTGATCCATATCTCTGATATATTGTCATGTGATTAATTTCTAATCAATAGGCACATCAATACAAATTATAATAGTATTTTCAATAAGTATAGGAGCCAATAAATAAATTATAAATTTATTGTTAACAGATATTTTTCAATTAGGTGATAAGGAACTGAGTCAATGGGAAAGATCTAGGCTAATCGACGCTCTTTGATGGAACTGGGGCTAAAAACTGCGAATTACCGTCAGGATGATCCGGGCTCTTCGACATTATCAGCCATCGCTAATAGACTGTCCTTCAAATGTGCTCAAATTGTTGAAGAGTTAAGATGCTTGAAATAGATAGGATACAAACATTGCCAAAAATTCGAACTTTGAGTATTAAGCGAAAAAGCTAATTTCAAATTGGATAGAATAACCTGATAAACCTTGGGACTTTACGATAGCGTGAATCATTCTTACTCAAAATCATTACTCAAAAATGGATAATGATTAAATTAATTAACCAATTAGATAAGCTTAGCCTTACTCAATGTTAAAAGCGAGTCATACTTGATTTTAGTCACTCGCGTATCTGTTATTAATCCAATTTAAAAAAGGCAATACTTAATCACACAAGTAGTGGTATACTTTCCACAACTTGCATCGCCTAAATGAGGAAGAATCGGCACATGGATTTTGAGATTTGTCTTCCAAATTTACTTTAATTGAAGTTGTAATTTTAAAGAAATTTTACACATATTTGTCATCTTCTATAGTGGTTAGGCTTGACATGAATGATAAGATTCGTATTCGAATTAGATCTGCTAAGGAAAAAAGGATTCTAAGTATTACATTTTAGGAAGGGTTTCCTTGTGGTGATGAAGAACTTCTCGACCTCTCCTCCCCATCCCACCCCACCCCTTCCCTCCTTTCCCCTCCTCTTCACGCCCACACCCTCCTTTATTAATGCCAATGATATTCACTGATGTAGTGGGTGTGACTCGATGATTAAATTCCACGTCTTTGTAGAAATGTTTTAGCAGACTGATTAATTATGCCAAGCCATAACTGTGCTCACTTTTTTCTGGAATTTGAATATGTTTCTCCAAGAGCTCATCATTCTTATGTGAGATTTTGTTGTCCCGAGGTAAAGAAATTGGTTTGCATCATTTCTTCAAGAGATTTACAGAGTACTGTGTGACATGCCTTTGGAAACTTAACATTAAGCAATTAGTTCACCACAATAATCCTTCAAGTCTGAATTGTATACGGAGTCATCCACTCTGCATGGTATTCAAAGTTTGAAACCGAAAGAAATTCGTTGTTTTGCAAACGATAGGCTGTCTTGTTTTAATGCATTCAGAATCAACGTGGAAAATTGCATCAGACGGTGAACTTCTCCAAGCTACTGAGGTGGTGAGGCGCGGCTGGTTTTTTATCCATCAACTCTTCGTTAGAATGATTTCGGGATTCGAGCCTGTGGGACACGATATCACTGTGTGCGTCATCGTATGCCTGCATGTCTGCTCGCCTGGATTGGGAGGTGCGGCCGTACAACTCTGTGTGCAGCGACCGTACAAACAGTGACCAATCATTAACCTCTGTTTGCTTAACCTAATCCTCCATCCTGACCATGAGTACCTCCTTAAATGTTCACTCTATCCTGATCATGAGTAGCTCCCTGCGTGTACACCTTATCCATCCTGATCATGAGTAGCTCCATGCGTGTACACTTGATCCTGATATACGTACTGAATAAACGTATTCCGTGCTACACGTCTGCTTCCCATACTCTCTGAATAAACGTGCTCCGTGCTACACGTCTGTTGCCTTGACAGCTGGGCTATAGCTTAGCTAGTTATCTAGCTAGAGGTTGGAGAATCTGCCATAGAGATTTCTGATTCCTAGCTAGATGTTGGAGAATCTGCCATAGAAATTTCTGAGCCGGTAGCTAGATGTTTGAGAATCTGCCATGGAGATTTCTGAGTCGGTCTAGATGTAGGAGAATCTGCCAAAGAGATTTCTGAGTCAGGTAGGAGAATCTGCCATAGAGATTTTTGAGTCAGTCAGGCAGGCTTTACTAAGGTAGCTATTGGCTACAAAATTAAACAGCCCCCTTGTGAATGCCAACAGGCTGGAAATATTAAGGTAAATAAGTTTTCTTTATTTACGTTACTTTGGATATTGTAAAAATTGGATTAGGGTTACATGCGCATTACGGGAGAAATTG